ATGTAGATCCTGATAGAGACTTAGAGATCTGGATACTATGTTCCATTCTTGATCGCAGGATCAAATACTTTATATTTTCTTGGTAGATTCTCAAATGTGCATAGCAATTATTCTCCCCTGCCCCATTCTCAATAAATTCTGACCAATTTATTTTCTAATCATAAAGAGCAAATGGAATAAAGAATATGTGTGTGTGTGAGTGTGTGTGTTTGGAGTGGGGAATGTTTTTGTGTGCGTGCTTGTGCCTATTCAGTGACTGAATATGTTAGGTAAATATTTCCAAGTCTAGATCATAATAATATATGGTAAAGGTTGTCTAAAACAACAATAATAATAATAATCAGAATTTCCTAATCTCTCTGTGTACCCCAATTAGAGACAGAAAGAAATATAGACAAATGTATTGTAGAACTAGTTTGTAGTAGGAATTTTGCAAACTATTTTGTGACTCTGGGAAATATAGAAATGAATCATATCTAGACCTTGATGTTGGAGAGCTCATAATTTAAAGAAGGAGATAAATCATGATCATAAATATTATAATTCAAGATAGAAAATGCAGGGTCTGGGGCACTGGGATTTAGAGGAAGGAAAGATCACTCCCTGCTGGGAAGATTTGGCTTGGCTTCTTGGAGAAGGTGGATATTAAACCAGACTAAAGAATGGGCAGGATTTGGTCCAGGGACAAGCAAGGGAAGAAATAATTGCAGGAGGAAAGGCAAGATGTGAAGTGTGAGGATGTGGAATTGGTGAGTGTTGCCTTCAGTCAGGGTGAGTAAAGGATTCTGTCATTGGCCCCTGAGGATCTTATTAAAATACAGATTCTGATGCAGTAGATCTGGGGTGTAGCCTGAAATTCTGCATTTCTCGAAACTTCAAGGTGATGCTGATGCTGCTGGTCCATGGACCTATCTAAGCAATAGGGAATCAAACCCTAGGGTTTGAAACAGTAAAGAAAATGTTCCTGCTATAACCTTCTGCTTCACAAGTCCCTTTAAGGAGACGTTCTGAGGTTGGGGACATACACACAATGACTGGCACAGCAGCGGGGTTCCTGTAAGCATTTGCTTTACATGTTCCTTTCCCCAGTTATACTGATCCAAATACAAACCCAGTTAGAGGGTGAAAGTGGACAAGGGGTGAAAAGATTCTGAAGACCTGGATTCTAGAAACCAGATACGACACAAACCACAATGTAAATGCTGTTTTGGTTTCAGAAATGATTTCTCCTCCTAAATTGCTAATTGGAGGGCAGAAGTGAGCTGATGAGTACCTATATATTTGAGAGTGATTTAAATACTGGCCCTCTGGCTTGATCGTGAATATAATTTTATAGTAAGATGATAATACTTTAGTAGTACCACGGGGAAAGAACAGGAATTAGATTCAGAAGATCTGACCTTAAGTTCTTTAACCTTTCTGGGCCTCAGATGAACTTCCTCATCTATCACATGGGACAATAACCCTTTCCCCAGCCACCTCTCAGTTCTTCATAATGAGCTAATGGGTATGAAAGTGCTTTGTAGACAGACCAAGGAGGGCCTTGCAGGTGCGACGACCACCTCTTATTATTACAGATGGAGGCATTAGTCTTTTCTCTGCTCCTGGGATTTGCTGGTGGAATGAGTTCGAACAGATTTGGGGGAGGGACCTGTGGCAGCCTCAGGGGCAAAGGCCCAGGTACTATGGCATGAGAGATCCTCCTTTGGCGTTTGTTTCCCCTGTCAGGGCAGGATGCACCTGCTGTCGGCAGGTCAGACATACCCTCGCATCTGGTTGTGCAGCTTCCTGTGATCTCTGGGGAAATGTTATCAGCAGCAATATTGCCTCGCAGGGCATCCCCTGGGAGTGAACTTGGGGGACAGACTCAGATGCCCCTGGGCTGTTTTCTGAGTTATGTCCTGTGTTCTCTGCTGTCCACTGAAGGCCTTCTGGCCACACCCCCAGAGCAGGCAACACTGGCAGGTAGGAATATTCGTTAAGGATAGAGTCAAAAGTATTACAGTTCTACGGACTAATAGGAAACAAGCAAGACACCAAGAAACTGTCTTTTAGCAGGAAAATAGGTGGCACTCAGGGCATACATAGAGGGACAAGAAGATAATTCCCGAGAGCCAAACCTGTAAAGTCAATACCTGGACTAGGAAAGCTCACTTTTCAGGAGAATTCTACTGCATTTCATATTTAATAGAATTGAGTGTCCTCAAGATAACAGGCATTAGAAATAGCTATGGCAGTCAGGTTCAATCCCCTAATTACCCATGAGGATAGTAGGGGATTTGGCAGAAAGGGGGTTACCCTGTGATTTTGAGTTAATAGAAGACCCCAGGATAAATACCAGGCCTCTTGGTTCTCCATCTCTTGTGGTTTGAGAAGGGCCATCCCTTTTGCCTTGACTGGCCTCAGTATCTTCATTTGAGAAATAAAGGAAAGAGCTGCCCTCTTCCTTCTGTGCTCTTCCAGAACAAGTTTTCCATGGGGCCTGGGGACTCAGGCTTCAGTCTAGGCCTAGGATATCTCCCCAGCCAGGCCAGGCTCATGAGAACCCTACCCTCTCCCTTTATTCTCCCTGGGGAATCTGCAATAATGCTTAATCCCTGCTCCCAGACTCACTTTCATAAGGGGAAGTCAATAGATTCTTTAAGCGGTTGGACCACAGAATGATGCTTGGGCCTATTTTGTCAACCAGGTGGCTCTGGTGAGGGAAGTTGTATGAGTCATTGTCGGCCAGAAATGTAAATCTGGCTTGAGGCTTCCCTTGCAGTGAAATTTAGATCATTAATAATAGTGACCTTCTGTACAGCACGTTTTACCTACTTCATCTGTTTATCACAACTATTCGGAGATGTAGGTGTTATTGTTATACCCATTTTACAGATGAGGAAAATAGACCCTAGAGGTATAGCAAGCTGCTCAAGGTGGCAGCAAGTGTGAGTTGCAGGCTTGGGACTTAGTTAAGTCTTTGGACTTTATAATCCATGCTCTATGCATCACATCTCTTTGTATCAGGCCTCCTATTGCCTACTCAGACCCAGTGGATATAAACAAAAGCAAGGAAGGTCAGCCTGCCTGGGGTCGTTTACCTGGAGGTCCGTTTCTGCAGAAGGGGTAATTGCAGCATCAGTGTGGGTTATGGCCATCATGGTGATGGGCCTGGGAATGAGATTGACAGCCTCTGTCTACCCCTGTTTACCACTGCTGCCTCTTTCATCCTCCATTTCTCAGAATCAAGTTAAAGCCTTCTGATTCCAAAACTAGGACTTTTTCTTTTCCATTTTTTGAAATATGAAACATAATTCAAACATAGAAAAAAGAATGGCAAGTACTATAACAAACACCCATTATAGTAAAGTTTTGTGCTATTAAGTAAGTATTTCTAGTTCTTTCTACTTCTGGGCATTTGGTAGAATTTCTGGCCCCTTGAGCAGTGTAAAGCTATGTATTAGTCCTGGCCACTTAATTGTGGAAGGAGGTGACTGTGTCAATTCCACGCTGGAGCATATAATTACTGTCTCCCTCTGGCACAGCTAAAAGATGGTACTGCTCTGTCAGCCTTGGTCCCTGAGTGACAATGATAAGCAGTGCTCTCTGCCAACCCACAATGTGTGAGCAAAAAAGAAATTGTTGTTGTTTTAAGCCACTGAGATCCAGAGCTTTTGTTACTGTAGCAAAGCCTAACCTCTCCCGACCCTTGCATTCACATCCCCACCAGCTTGACTTTTAAGAATGTTAACCTGTCTTTATACTTGCTTCAGCTTTTTGACAAACAAACAAATCCAAAACCAACAGAGTACCTTGGTAGCTCAACTCTTCACAGCCCTTTTTCTTCCTACCATCCCAAAGATGGTATGTCTCTGTCCTGTCCATGTTTAATAAACTTACTCCATAAGTATTTGTCCAAGACACTATATAGTATTGCTTCATTAGTCTGAATGCATCACAATTTATTGAGCATTTCCCTACTAATGAATTTTTAAATTGCCTTTTCCTCTTAGAAGCAATGATGCAATATACCTCCCTGTACTATGTTCTTTGAATATTTATGGAAGAACTTCTCTTGGCTATATATCTGAGAGTGGAATTACTAAGATATCATATATATTAAGCCTCAAATTTAGTAGATATTGTCAATTTCTCTCAAAAATGATTATATCCATTACAGTCCTATCATCAGTATGTATGTATTTTTGTTGTTGCTTTATATTGTCAAATACTATATTGCCACACTTAAAATTTGGCCAATTTGATGGGTGTAGAATGGCATCTCTTTATTTTTTAATCTGCATTTCTTTGATTATTAGTGAAGTTGAGCATCTTTCCATTTGTGTAAGAATTATTTCCTTTTCTGAGTTTTGCATGTTGATATAGTCTGACAATGTATTTCTATATTTTTCTTCTTATGGATGTGTAGAATTTTTGTCTCTTGTATTCTGGGTACTAATTCTTTGTCAGTTACATAAATTGTAAATGCATTCTCTGCATCTGTGACTTGCTTTTAATGTTGTTCATTGCCCAGTGCTTATTCTCTTGCAAGCTATCGGCTGCCTGATTTTGCATACACTTGATTTTTCAGATCATAGCACCTACATGGTGAAAATGGCTTGGAGATGTGTTTTGAAAAGGCTAGGTGAATAAATGTCCCCTGACCCTAAATATCTGTAGTAGGCTAAGGAACGTGTTCTCACAAGGGAATCTGTGAAGGATCTATTTTGCTTACTCAAGGAGCTCCTATGCTAACACAATTGTTTGGTGAAAGCAAAAGAACCAGGTGTAAGTGGAAAAAAACCTTAGTCACTAAGGGTTGTTTGGGCTGTTCAATGGTGAATATCAGGGGTGACTGTTCCCCACCCCCACCCCACGCCACGCTGGATCCGGTCATGATTTGCCTGACTGTTTTCGAATTTTGTAGACCTAGCATATGTAAGCAGGCACCTGAGAGAGGTCACTCCTCTCCCCATACACCCCTTAGAGAGTCTTCACAAGGGTGTGATGGTGGGAAGCCTGGACACACTCATCAGAAGGTAGGAAAAAGCAGCTTCTTGGAAATGCTTTTAGCTTTCCAATGGGGAGAGTCACTTTAAAGCTTTGTTTATTTTTCCATGCCTCAGCTAACCCCAAAGGAAAATCTTAGCTCAGGACAGGAAGCTCAGAGCACCCAAAAAGATGACTACAGCAGAACAGGACTATTAATGTCTGCCTGTTACACATCCCTCTGCGCTGTCCCCCAGGAGGCTTGGGCCGTGCTGGGGCTCCAAGGAGGCCTGAATATGCCATCACTCCCTAGGAAACCAAGGGCTATGGCAGAAACCGAGCTCTGGGATCAATTACGTTGGTAGAACTATAAAGGCAAGGAGTGAGCCAAAAGTACTGTGGCTTAGGAACGACTTGCTGAAAAAAGACTTGATATTCCCAGGTGGACCCCTATGCCCCCGGGGAAGGTGACCTTGCTGTCCAGTTGGCCAGCCCGAGTGCTGGGCCTCAGGAACCAGGACACACCTTCCGTTCCAGTTGACTCACTCGAGTGGCAAATTCTTTTCTCCCTCACAATCCTCTCATCTTCAAAGGGAATTCATTAAGCACTACCATGCCACCGGCACTTGGCCAGGTGTTGTACTGGCCTATTAGATGGACACAGGCCGTAGCCTCAGGGGGCGTGCCAAGTGAGGTGAGGATGGCGGCTGATACCTACTGACAGCCCCCGAGATGATTCTGCGCCACTCTCTATAAACCCTCCAGCTGTTTCACACTATCTGTGTGGGGCTCTCTGCACACACTGTGTTCTCTCCCATAACCTTGCTTTAGCTCACTCTGTTCCCTTCTGCTGGAACGCTCTTCCACTCTGTCAGTATAGCCAAGTGCCCACTCCTGGATGGAGCCTTTGCTGATAACCCCAGGCAAAATTAGCCACTCTGAATTCTGCATTGCTCTAGTACTTTGTATCATTAAGAGCACATACCAAACTGTGCTGGAATTATCTGTTTATCTGTCTGTCTCCCTAATGGACTCTGAATTCCTCGAGGATGGATTCTGTGGCTTATTCCTCTCTGTTTTCTCAACAAGAATTTGGCGGGTGCTCCATAAATCATGTGTCGAGTTAAATGCAGGGAGGGCACTGCTCAGGATTTTATCTGATTCTACCTTGTGGTATAACTGGAAGCAGGTCGCATGTGTGTTTTAGTTTCCTTTTCTGTAAAATGGGGGTGGAGGGAAGGACAAATTAGAAAACTGGCCTCTGAAAGGTTTTCTGGCTCTACTGTCTATGATTTTAAAATTCTAGTCTCCTAGTGGGAACCTGAGAGTTTATCATCTCTTCAAAGACCAAGATGATGTTTTCATTTACATGTATTAAAGATCCTAATGTTTCCTTCCCATTTCTAATCTGTCACCTCTAAAAAAAATGAGTATTAGCAGTTTGCAGATTCTCTAACTAAAGTTTCAATAGGTTTGTGAGATTGATTGATTACAGGAAGTGTGTAAATTTTATCTTCCCTGGGGAATAAAATTGTTAGACTAATTGATTCTTTGTAAGGAGTTTCTGATGGTGTTTTCTGGTGACTTTTGTCAGCCTAGCTGTGTGTGGAAGGGGGCCCTTGTGTGGCTGTGTATGATGCAGGCCTGTCTGCACGTGCCACAGCCAGTCCCATGAGACCCATGCTTTCCCTATGCTACCTCTTTGCCCCTTGAGTTACAGGTTTGGAATTTCCTGTATGGACAGCACTGAGTGCCCCTCACATTCCGAGAGCATATTCACAAGGTGTTAATAACACCCAGCTATGATATTAGAACTTCATAACCAGACAAAGTGAGTGAGGATAGGGATTATCATTGACCCATTTGCAGGTGGAAGTAAGACTCAGATAGGTAAAGTGACTTGCATGAAGTCACATGGCTAAGATCTTCTGAACCTGGCCTAACAAGACCCAATGTGCTTAATTTCATTGCCTCCTTAAAAACTTGTTTAGACTGCTGCTTTATTGACTGGCTTCTCGTGAGCCTTTTGTCTGATGAAACCCCAGGCAAGTAAATTATATCTCAAAGAAAGAAGGGGTTCTAACCCACTATTGACTTTGTGGGACAAAGTGGCTGCATTCATTAGTGAAGGGGGAAGTCGGATTAGTTAAAACTGTCCATTTGGTGGTTTCTATCATTAGCATTTCAGTATGCCAGTAAATGAACTGGCGAAGCCTGAAGTAGGGCCCTTCTGAAAGCTTGAGAGGATCCCAAGCTGTCGGGCACCCTGAGGGCACATCCAGAAGCACAGGGTCCCAGCGTCCCCCCCCCTTTTATTCTACGAAGACAGCTAAGAGGGAGCATGACTTGTTAGCGCACCTCTCTGAGCCTCAGTTTTCATATCTATGAAGTGGGAATAGTAAATCCTCCCCAGCTTACCACAGAAGACGGTTGTGAGGGTCTCAAATGTCCATGGAGGTGGAAGTGTTCTAGAAGAGCTGGGAGAAAAATCAGGGAGCGTCGTTTTATCCTTGTTATTCTGCTTTCATAACTGCAAACTGTCTTAGTCAAGGGAGGTAAGCCCAGCCCAATATTCTTTTTTCAAAAGTGGCTCCAAGTAACATCATTTAAGAATATGTATCCCTTTAAAGTGTGAATAATATAACAGCAGTTCCTACGTTAACCTGCCTGTCAGAACACGGAAGAGGATCAAGGTAGTTAACAGATGTAAGGGCATTTCTAAATTACAAAACTTACTATTACTATGACATATCCTTTTTCCTCCAAGGTTAAGGGGTATCCCTTAATAACTTGAAAGGAATTTACCCAAACTCTCTCTGATGCTATTTTTGTTAGAGCCCTGCCTCATTTTGAGAGTAAAGTGTTCTACTTGGCTGAGAAGTAGGAAAGGGGCTGGGCTGGAACTCATCTGCTCAGGTTTTGTTCGTAGTATCTTTTTGGCTATCTCTTTGAGTCAATGGCTCGAGCTTTCTATAGCGATCTATAAGCTTCTGGCTCCCTTGGCTCTAACTGGTCCCCGAGGATCAATTCTCTTTCCAAAGAGGGATTTTTTTGTTTTCTTTCTTCTCGCTGGGGAAAAAGAGTTACTCTCACATATTGTAAAGAAAAACTTCTTCTTAGAAGACTAAAAAATATTTGAAATAGGCCGGGCCTGGTGGCTCACGCCTGTAATCCTAGCTCTCTGGGAGGCCGAGGAGGGCAGATTGCCCAAGGTCAGAAGTTTGAAACCAGCTTGAGCAAGAGCGAGACCCTATCACTACTATAAATAGAAACAAATTAATTGGCCAACTAATGTATATAGAAAAAATTAGTCAAGCATGGTGGCGCATGCCTGTAGTCCCAGCTACTTGGGAGGCTGAGGCAGGAGGATCACCTGAGCCCAGAGTTTGAGGTTGCTGTGAGCTAGGCTGATGTCACGGCACTCACTCTAGCCTTGGCAACAAAGCGAGACTCTGTCTCAAAAAAAAAAAAAATCTTTGAAATAAATAGGGCCCAACCTTAACTTAATAATGCCAAGTGTGATCATACATATTTCTTATTTCCAGAGAGAAGTTGATGCAATTTTCAATGTAAGACAGTCACTAATGATGTTACATTATAAATCAAAAGTTAAAGCCACAAAAATGGTAAAAAAAAAAAAAAAAAAAAAGCAAATGTATGAAGGTGTAGGCTTAGTATAGTTATTGTATTGAGCGTGAGCTTCCTGGCAGGCAAGGCAAAAAAATAAACATGACGACTTACATAATTTGCTCTTTCTGATTGAAGGGAGTATCCTGATTGAGAGACCTTTTTTTCTGGTATTAACGTTGAAAAGGACTTTATCACTAAGTAACCTACACAAGTAATGAATATGTCTTTAGCAAGAGTTTTACAACTAATGCAGGCAGGAAAGTTCTTCCCATCTCATCCCCTGTCTTGAACTTCAGATGCATATTCACTACTAACTAAATGTCTTCACCTAGATATTCCAAAGTCATCTCAAACTGAACATATTCCAAAGTGCACTTGTTAACTTCTTTCTGAAATTGGTTCATGCCCCTCTCCTGATCTTTAGCACAGACCCAATTAATTCTGGAGAGTCTATCTCCTCAATTTCTTTGAAATCCTTCCTCGCTTTTCCACCCTCACCACCCCGGCTTCAATCCTGGGCCCTATCGTCTCTCACAATCACAATGGATTCTTAACTTGTTTTCTTATTATTTCAGCCTGTTCTCCACACTGCCTCTCTAGAAACTCACCCATAAAAAATATGAACCTAATCTTTCTGGACACCTTCCAAAGGATGCCCATTGCCTTCAAGGTGAAATCTGAACTCATGGCCTAGTAGATGAGAACTTTAACCTGCTTAGTTTCCAGCCTGATCTGCTGCCACACTCCTTACGAATTCTCTGTCACAGGCTACCTGTTCCCTCAGTGGGCATCACTGGCCACCCCTCCATGCTTGGCGCAGGCTATTACTTCTGCCTAGAAGTCCCTCCTCCTTTGCAAGCCTGGTGTTCTTCTATTCTTGGAAGCTTTCCTGATCGCCTTCCAACAGTCACCATAGTTATGTTTTCCTTCCTCTGTATGCCCTAATACCCGATGTATCTCAGTTATACTTACCTTAGGATGCTGTTACTGTTTGTGTAGTTTCTGAATCCTCCAAGACTATTAATTTCTTAAAGACAGAAATGTAATCTCACTCATTCTAGATTTACAGCTCTATACATGTGCCTGACATAGTTGGAGGCTGATAAGCGTTTGTTGACTAAACGGGTGGATGAAAGAACACTGTTTCACATGGTGCAATAAGGTCGAGTTTAGGAAACGTTAACTAGTGGAACAGGGACAATAGGTGTTGTGTTGATCAACAGACCTTTTCCTTTAGGATATCTGAAGGAGTGGGTGGTTAGACAGGGCTTTAGATAAACGTCTCTGAAATCATCTCTCTGTGCTGGCCTTTGGTAGGAGCTGGGTGGCAGACAGTGAGTGGAGGTGCTGCTTGCAGAGGCTTCGGTGCTGGCATTGTGTGTGCCTGCCCGGCATAGCTGCACGTCTTGGCCACCCCATACACGGTTGGTTGGGTAGAAGCAGAGACATTATATTAAGGGCAGGAAGACCCCAAGCAGAAAGTAGATTATACGGGTGTCTCCGAGCACAGCCAGGGTTTTCCTCAAGAAGTATTGCTTTCCATCAAGTACCTGGCAGAGAATCAATAGAGAATTCCTTCCTTGTTCCACTCTATCAAGTTTCACATCTTACAGAGTTTTCAGTCAACTTCTGCTTGTAACTGGATTAACTGGTGTGCTTGTTTAAAATGCAGATTTTCCAGGTCCCTCCAACAGGATGCATCCTCAAAGGTGGTCTCAAAATCAGCTGGGGAAATTTTTGAGCAGACTCCATTGCCTAGCTTTTCCAGGGGGGTAACAGTACAGCTCTAGATTGGCAGAGCTTGACTGGATCTTGTTTTAAACATCCATAAGTCATTTGGCCTGAAGGTTTGGGGCCAAAAGCAGTTTCTGATGCACCTAGACGCAACGCAGTAGAGCTGCTCCATGGGCCTCGGGCCGTTCACTTCATGCCAGCGCTTGAAGTGCAGCGCTTTCCCAGTGCAGCATAGGTTGATAATGATTATGATCAATAATGTCTAGCAATCAATTTTTGAAGTAAATAGTATTAATAATTCAAATCCAAATAAGATTTTGCTGTCCTCAAAACTCTTGCACTTGAATTATTTCCTTTGCTCTCACAAAAGCCCCATAAGACAGGCAAAGCCAGGGCCATTCCCATTTTATAGACGGAGAAACTGAGACTCAGAGAAGGCAGTGACCTGTACAAGGCCACATAGATAGGCTTGCTAATACCTGCCCTGAGGTTTTCCGACTTCATTTTTATGCTGTGTTCCTTTCCACCTTGCCTGATGAATCCTTAAGCGGTCAGATTTGAAAGTTGAAGAATACTCCTTAGGATGTTAGAATTGTTTTTTAGGGCTCGATTGTCCAAGAAAATAAAAAATTCCCATTTCTGAACTGTTACAGTGGACTCTGTGGCTGTGTGTTAAAACTTTAGTCCCATGTGTCAAGAAGGCTTCCAAAGTTTGTTACATCAACCTAAGCCTTCGGGGAAGTTTCCAGTAGTGTGCTGGCTTGCACCTCCAGGTCAGAGGCAGTTGTGGGTATCTTTTCCTCACTCTGTGGTCATTGATGTCACATTGATAGCTTGGATGAGCAAGTATTCAGCCACGGTGCAAATATTTACACCACAGAAATCAGCAAATCCTGTAATTCAGGGCTTTTTCACCACCATAGAACCAGTTGTTAAACATTTTCCAGCATACCACTGCTTACAGCTAACAGTGACTGGTACAAACTAGAGTTTGAAAATTCTCATCTGTTGTCTGCATTTGTGACCATTTTGGGGGTTGATTTTGCCTCTAAACACAAGTCATACTCCAGTGCTATTCCTTAAATGGGACACTCCTTCCACCTGAGCTTGCAAAATCAGCTTGATGGGTTTCTACCAACAGTTCCTTGTATTTGTGTAGTTTGCAAAGTGTTTTCACATCCCTCCTCACTTCTGAGCTTTGATGCCATCTGCCCTTGGTAGAAAGGAAGGGCCTGGAGACCAGACAGGTGATGCGACCGCTCCCAGGGTCATAGGCCTAGCAAGTGGCAGACAGGGGCTTCAGCTGGGTCATCAGCCTCCTTGTTCTGTGTTCCTTCCCCTGGTACCTTCACCTAGGACACTGCAATGCCTGGAGAGCAGGCTCCTGTCTGGGGCACAGAGAAGAGGCGTCTAGCAGCAGTTTGGCATGTAACGTTGGTCTTAGTCTTTGACAGCAAAGAACAGACATGCTAGCTTGAGAGCATCTACACTGCTGGTCCCACTTTCCTAATCCAATGCAAGGGAAAAAATCTACTTTCACTCCCTCTTTGTCCTCTGTCCTCTCTTTGTTTCTTTAAAAACTTGTATGGGAACCTTGTGTCTCTGGGTCCTGCGGAGGGTCCTGCCCTCAGCAGAAATTTAGAGCCTCCTGAATGATACAACATTCATGTTCTGCTTCCCTCTTGCACAACCCCCAGCCTCACCACTGCCTGGTGATGGAAGTATTGATTGGTAAGCCTGTAAGCCTTTCCACAATACATTTTCAAAATATACCTAAGGTCAAGAATGAATGACTCATGGGCAGTCACATTTCTTCCTGCCTCAGTCCCTCTATCTTATATAAGTGAGGTCAGCTAATGGAAGTCATTGAAGAAACTGAGGTCAAAGTTAACTCTGCTCAACCTTGGCCAGCAGGATTATTAAATAACTGGAAAAAACAACTCCTGATCTTCTCTTTAGTGATTGACCTTCTGAATCACTTTGGTTTTTAAGATCAAGGCTCTTGAATAGTAGAAGTGTGAGTGAAGGGATTTTAGTGCTGCTTTTGCCACCAACTTGTCCCAGAGTACCAGAGATGTACTCTGCTGGGACAAAAAGCTTAGATGATATCTAGGGAGCTTGACTGCTCTGATAGTCTGTGAGTCTACATGAGTTCTCTAGAGAGCAAAGATGTAACCCCTGAACCAGGCTTGGAGCTACTCACTCCCTGTTTTCCTGACTCTGTGAAAAGCTCCCTGTGGGGCAGTGTGGAGGAATGCCTTAGAGCACAGCGGCAGACAGTGTCCCGGACCAGGAGGCAAGGGATCTGGGCTAACTCTCAATTTTGCCATCTCTGCTTTGAATACTCCGATAAGCTGGTAGACCTGTTAGCACCTCAGTTTCCTCACCTGTGAAAGGGAGACAATAACTATGTGTGTTGAGCTTTTTTTTAGTGCAAACTTGAATTCATGGAAAGACCTACAGTATGGTTCCTTCCACATGGGCTAGCCTGGGGGGAAGAGAATTTCAAGGTGGTAATTTTTAAAACTCCTTGGCATGCAAGTTTTTTTTTCCTATTTCTTTTTCTGCAAAAAAAAAAACAAAAAAAAAAAACTAATTTGCAGGATTAAGGTTTCTGAATGCCTTATCTAGAATAATCATGGGACTGGAAGTTTCTTAGTAGTTTTCCTGTAGAGTTTTGTACTTTAAATACCTTGAAGGTCCCTTTCATTCTAACATAACATAATCACAGAAATAAGAAGTGTGATGCAGTCAAAGCAATCAGTAGTGTCTGCCCCTCCTTTACGCACCAGCGCAGCTTCCCCAGCGCGCCCCTCCCACACCCGCACCCGTGCCCCGCTCCCCCTCTCCAAGCTGGTGCAGGCGGTGCCGCTCTCCTCGCTCCTGACTGGAGGGTGAGCCAGTGTGAAAGGAAGCAACTTCAGTTATGTAAAGCACATTCTGGGCGAGGAAAGGCAAGCATGTGTTTCCGCTTGACTGAAATTGCTTTTTCCCCCACCAGTTTGTCCTCCCATCAGGACATGTCAGAAATTAGAGAGACCTTGGCAATCACAGCTCCCACCTCTTCATTTTGCAAATGAGCAGCTCAGAGCAGAGAAGTGGCTTCCCCAGGGTCACACAGCCAGCTTGTGGCAGAGTCAGGATTCAAGCACCATCTCCCGACTTCTTCATTGCACCAGACGTCGAGAGAACACAGAGAACCTAAAAGAAGAAAGAAATAAAATAGATCTTTGGGGAGTATCTTGGGCTTCTGGTTTTCAAGGACAATTTTATGATAAGTAGCAATGATGCCTCAAAAGCTATGGTAGCTAGCTTGAATGAACTTATGTAATAAACATTTATCACAGAACATGTGTCATCAAACACCTGCCAGATCTGAGCATTGGCACCAAAGCTGCTTTCATTGTCAAAGAAAAGAGGGGAAAGGAACTTGGCTGAACAAAGCTGGCAGACGTTTATACTAGAAAATTCAGAGGTAATTTCTGGAGCAACAGAAACACATTTTTAAAGTCTTTTAAAATTTATTGAAATGTGATTGGGTGCATTTAATAGCTAAGGAGTGAAGAACTCTGAGGACAATTGCTGGCCTAAGGCCTCTTCTGCACCTCTATCCTTTCTGTCTATCTTGGTCACAGGCTCTTGGAAGCCTCTGGATGGGCAGACCCAAGAGTTTCCCAGAACAAGGTCTGAGGTCGCTCATCTTTATCTACACTCCCATAGAAACACCCGAAGAACCTTTCATTCTCGCTGGACTCTCATTTCATTAGCAGAACGCAGCCAGAGTCAAAGAGACATGGACCATTGGTCAGTTAAACCGAGCCTGTCCATACAAAGAGGATTCTTTGGCCTGCATTGGAGGTCAACCTACATCAACACAGTGGGGCAGTTGCCAAATACCTGACCACTTCCCTTTGGCTACACACAAATTTTTGAACTTCAAGATCTTTTCTTTATTTACTCACTTAATAGTTATTACTGAGAGAGCATTGGACTAGAAAACCTGTTGCACTTGCAGGTATAAGAAGCTCTTTGAACCTCAGTTTCCTCATCCATGGACACTATTCATGATCTGCTGTGCAAACCTCACCTAGTTTGGGGGAGCATTCAATGAGTGGCATGTGGAAGTGCTTTGTGAACGCTAAAGCTTGCCTTGAGTGTGAATGATTGTTGCTACTCTTCTGTGCCCAATAGTGTGCTAAGTACCAAAAGGTTTCAAAAGAGATGTAAGAGGTGGTCCCTGTCCTCCAGGAACTTACAGTCCAGTGTCGTGAAACCAAGACACATCCCTAAAACACACACATATAAAAAACGCCTCAAGCCAGTGAAGTATCTACTACTTAAATGATGACTAAAGACTGTGAGTCCTCTGGGAGTGTAGAGAAGTGGGAGATCACTGACAGAGTGTAGAAGTTGGGACTGTCTCCTGGATGAGGTGAGGCTCCAGCCAGGAGGTGAAGATGAGGAAGGTCTTCATGGATGCAGCACCACTGAGTCAACTGGCACAGGGTTCTTTCAGGAGACTTTGATAGACCAATCCACGTGGAGTTAGAACTGCCAGTAAGGCTGGAGGTATAGATTTAAAAGTTGAGGAGAGTTATAGGTAAGGGAAAGGCAGAGCAGTTTTTAGACGAATGATAGGTGATGATGAAATGATAATTTGGAGTGACTGTGTAAATAATGAACTTTCAGAGAAACCCAGCAGGGAAGAGGCTGCTGCAGGAGTTTGGCTGGGCGTGATGTGGTTCCGTACCAGACCAACGGCATGGAGAAGGAATTACATTTAAGTGAAAGATAGTTCTGTGTGCATGGAGAGGACAAGTTACATTACCCTTCCTTTTCTTTTGGTGACTAAACTTTGGACAAGAAGGGACAAGGAGGTGACTAATTTGGACAAGGAGGGACGAAAATGTAGGGAACCTCTTTGTATGTACATTGGAAGATTCTTGAAAAGCCTAAGTGGTCTCACAGTGTCGATCTGTCTATCAAAAGGGATGTGAATTCGCTAACTGATCCATGGGATTAGAGATTATCAGAGCTAGACAGGACCACAGAGGTCACTGGGTCGCATGTGTAGCCAATTTAAAAATACGTGCAGCAACATCCCCAGAAGTGCTCATCGTCCTCTTGCTGAACCCCTCTAACGGGGATGAGCTCCCCAATGTTGGGTGTGTCTGTAGATTCACAAATTTTTTATTTGAGCTTTTGTGAATTTTCCTAATGGGCTCTCTCATTGGCCCCCAAGTTCACACAGAACACAAACTCTCTTACATGCTACTGATTCTGCCATTCAGCTGCAGGTGCTGACCCTGTCTTCCTCACTGCGCTGCTTTGAAAAGTACCTTTTTCATTGAATAAGTGTCATGAAACATCATCAGTTCTATTTTTATCTGTCACTTGATACAGAGACGAGAGAGTTGGATCCTGGACCTTATAGCGGGGGAAAAAAAGGAAAAGGATTGTGGGATCCTTATTTACTTCAGCTGGGGAATATTTTTGCTCTCGCACAAAAGTCAGGTCCCATGAAACCTGTGAAATAGGTGTTTTTGTCTCTTTCCTTTTCCGAGTGATCCGATGGCTATCTTTCCAGGGATTTCTGTCAGAAATCAAATCCAACGAGTGGGAAGTTTGACAAGATTCAGAATAGTTGTGCCAAATATCACAGCCTAGGGGGTAAATTAAGGTCAATTAAAGGGGGTAGCAAAAATTAAACTTATGGTAGATGCACTACATATATTTGGAGCAGAAAAAAGCTTCAGTCAATGGCAATTGATATTAATAAAACATAAAAATAAAAGAAATAAAAATAATAGACAACCAGGAAAACCCTGACACAACTTCTTTTTTTTAGGGGTAGGTAGCATTAAAGCAAAAGATCCTGTTTTATTTTATGAAGTAAATGCTCCAATATTTGCAAAAAATACATTTTATCTAAAAATGCTGCCACTGAACAAACAAAACTACCACAAAACTAGAGGAAAAAATCATGAAAAATGGAATCATTCTAGAATTTTCTTAAATTCTAGACATTTCTTAATTGATACAGAGCAAATGCAGAAGATCTGTGTATATACACTGTTGTCCTAGTATGGCCTTGGGTCATTGCCTAAGCAAGTCCTGTTGGCCGTGGTCTGTTTCAGACTATGCTGTAGAAAATCTTTAGCACTCACCTTTAAGTTTAGAGTAGAAAGGGCAATCTTTAACAGGAACATAGAAAATGTTCCATCAGATAGATCAAAACAAACAAGCAAACAAACAGAAGCAGGTCATTTTTCTCTTTTTGGCACCGTGCGGGACCATATGCTTCCAGAGATGGGAATTTAAAAATAGCCTGTCACACAGCTCACATTGTAGCCCTTGGACATGATGGGGGTGGGAAGGATTGCCTCACACTTAATAATAGTGACACTTCAAATTTATACCAACCTCTTCAGAGTAAACCAAAAGCACTTTTCAGGGTTGTTGTTTTGTTTTTTTTTTTCTTTTTAAAAAACCCACTCTTCCTAATATCCCCATAAATTGAATAGGTACAATTTTTCCCACTTTAGAGAGAAGACAATTGAGGCATCCAAAAATAATGTCACTCAGGATGACACAGTGACTCAAGAATTAGTCCTGTGCTGTTCCAAATGCCCCGGACTGCCCATAGCAGCAGTATCCTGTGCCTGCGAGAGCCACGGGTTGGTAGGATGTTGCACAGAAAGGAGAGAAAGTTGCCTCCCATTGCCTCTGCTCTGAAATGCACTGCCTTTCATTTTAAGCATTTCATCAGTTTCTAATTTTAAGGCAAATTGCTTATAAGCCATGGTGACCTATATCTGCTGACATTTGAAATCAATCTCAAACCAGTAAATGTCTTAGATTTGCATTTGGTGCCACCTTACAGAGTCATAACAACAAAGTAATTTTTCACATCTCCATAATTCCTTGCACTTGAAAATGGTTTTATAGTCACCATCTCATCAGATCTGTGTAAGAAGCTGTAATTTAGGCCAGGCAAGAGTTACGCGATGAGAGGGAGCAGAGGCTTGGGGCATCACAGAACTTTCTCATCTAGCGAGGGCCACAGAAACTGACTGAAACCCAGGTCTTCTCCCTGCACGTCTGGGGTAGTTTTCAGACACTGCCTCCTGCCACACTGCCTCCTAGGTCTGTGTAGTGTGTTGAGACGTGACTGCAGAATGTACGTTCTCAGGAGTGACTCTACCCAGTTTGCTGCCCAACATTCAGTTCGTAATCGTTTGCATAAGCCTGAAGGGGGATTTGAGATGTGGCAGGAGCCAGGAGAAATCAGCAATGAGCTCCCTCTGTGGAGGGACAGAAAACTGTTGGCACACCGGTGGCTCCTGGCAGACAGTTAGGATCTCTGTGGAGCCCAGTGCTGTTGTGTTACTGCAGCCTCAACACCTATTCCAAACTTAACTCCCTCGACGCTGTGCCTTAGCCACTCTCCTTCCTGTATCCTACATCCCCCTGTTGCTTTCCCTTTACTGTGCTTGGCAAAACCCCAAACCTGGTGAAATACGATTGTCCTCTCACTTCTCCTTTGCCTCTTTTGCTTGCACCTAAACAGAAGAATGTCAGCAAGAACATTGCACACCATGCTGACCGGTTCACTTTAAATTTGTCATTGCAAATCTCAAGCGGACCCTGCCGCAGGGCTCTGCAACACTTGTAGAAAATTCACTTTTCAGTCTCTGGACCAACTCTGTCACACCTTTAGCTCCCTCCTTAAATGTCCGCTATGCTCTACCCTTTCCACTCCCCAGGATTATGCTCTTTCTTCCTTGCTATCAGAGGAGAATTAGTTTATCTCTCCACCACCACCTCCTTTACCCACCTGTATCTGTACCCACATACACTGCCTCCCTCTTACTACAGTGGAAGAGGCGTCTAAGGCCAACCCTTCCATTTGTCCTTTGGATCCTATCTCCTTTCCTGTACTTCTCTCCTGCAATATCAACTTCTTTCTTTGTTTCTTTCTTTTGTGAGACAAAGTCTCACTCTGCCACCCAGGGTGGAGTGCAGTGATGCGATCAGAACTCGCTGTAACTTTGGTGGGGTGCAGTGATGCGATCACAGCTCACTGTAACCTTGAACTCCTAGGCTCAAGCAATACTACTGTTTCAGTCCTCCGAGTGGTTAACACTACAGGCATGTGCCACTATACCTGGCTAATTTTTATTTTTTTGTAGAGACAGTGTCTCACTATGTTGTCCCAGGCTACTCTCAAACTCCAGGCCTCAAGCGATCCGCCTGCCTCGGCCTCCCAAAACTCTGGGATTATAGATGTGACCCACTGTACTTGGCTGCAACCTCATTTTCTGATGTTCTGTTACATCTATTCCATCAACATGCAAATATGCCTTTATAAAAGCCATTAATATAAAAACAACAATTCTTCCTTAGCCTTACATGTTCCTCTAGCTACCACCCTGTTTCTTTGATGCCTTCACACAAAAAACTTAAAAAGATCTGCATTTCTTGTCCCCACTTCTCCACCTCCCATTCTCTCCTCAACTCTGCTCCAATTTCTTCTGACCCCACCACTCCACTTAAACAGCCTTTATCAAGGTCACCAGTGACCTACATGTTTCCAAAGCCAAAAGGAACTCCACTAACTGGACTATTCAGCAGAATTTGATGTGGTGGAGACTTTATACTTCTTTAAACACATGCTTCCCCACACCGCTGTGATTCCACACTCACCTGGTTTGCCCCTACCTTTCTGTCTCCTTGTCGGGCTCTTTCTCCTCTGGAGTTCTTGTCTCTATCCCGTCTATACTCTTCCCAGATGAACTCATTAGTCCCATGGCTTTAAAATACCATCTATATGCAGATAACTCCAAATCTCTATCTCTAGCTGGAGCTTCTCCCTTGAGCTCCAGACTTGAAAACTCTGCTTGCATATGTAATAGGCATTTCACACAAACTAGGACCCAAACTAAATTATTGATGTACTCCTTCCCCCCCCATCTGCCCCCCCACTTCTCCCTGTCACAGTAAGTGGTACCTGGCCTCCTAGCTGTTTGTTCAAGGCAAATAACAAAGGGTCATTCTAATGTCCTTTATTTCCCTGAAACCTCATGTTTAAGCCATCAGCAAGTCCTATGGACTTTATATCTAAAATATATGTCAATTTAGACTACTTCTCACCATCTCCATTGCTGATGATCTTATTGCAGGCTACCATCATGTTCTTCCTGCCCACACTCTTGCCCTCTGTATTCAGCTTGTCACACAGCAGCCAGACTGATGTTTCTTGAGTCGTAATTTATAATGTCACCTCTTTGCTAAACCCTCTCACCACGAGCTATAAATCCTTCATGATGTGGCCCTGCCCACCTGTCCAGCATCATCTCTTTCCACTGTCAGCCTCATCCTGATGCTCGCTGGCCTTTCTTTCCTTGAAACTTGCCAAATACTTTCTGATCTGAAGACTTTTCATTTACTTTTTCTTCTGTTTGGATGCTCTTCTTCCATATCTACAATGTCTGCTTAATCTAGTCATTCAAGCCTCTGCACAAATGTCATCCCCTGGAGCAAATTTGCTTGACAGATGTTTCCAGGGTATCTCTCTCTAGGACCAGGCAAGTAAGCATCCTACCCGCTCACTGTAAAAGCCTTTTCATTGAGTTGAATTTTAGTGAATTATACCTTCAACTTTTATAGTGCCTCAAAATAAAAATTGAAATTGAAATTTGTTACTACATCATCTCTTGTGGTTTCTGAGAACATTATTTATTATGTTACTCAGTGACCTTTTCTACAAAACCCCATATGAGGAATTATTTTAGGTATAAGTGCTAGAAAAGCTTTGTTTCCCTTGAGAAATTGATAATGACACACTGATTTAGCTTGTTTTTTTTTTTTTTTGGCTTTGTCAACATAAAGCTCAGAGCCAAAATTTGGCTGACTTATTGCAAATGTATAAGACTATATGACTTGGTTGTCTGTCTAGATAGTATTGTCCAATAGAACTTTCTAGAATCATGGCAATATTCTGTATGTGTCATGTCCAGTAAGCAGCCACTGGCCACATGTGGCTATGGAGCACTTAACATGTGGCTAGTAAACCTGAGGGACTAAATTTAACTTTATTTAATTTTAATTAATTTAAATTTAAATAGATAATGTGCCTGGTGGCTACCACATTGTACAACACAAACCTGGATAACCTATGGTCTATTTCTAAGATATTGGAGTTTATTTTTCATATACTCTTCATTATTCATTATAATGTCTCCTTTAAGTTGCCTCAATCCTTTGCGGCTGCAGGTGTAAAAAAAAAAAAAGGAAGCAAGCACATTTACATGAGTAATTGACTTTGCAGGGTATGTATGTATGTCAGCACGTTTAGAGGCTTGGTGGGAGAAGTGGTCAGTATATGCAAACAACGAATCTTAAATCCTGCCTCTCTGTGAGCTCTGCAGAAAGAGCACCAGCACAAACTGAGATTCAAGTTCTAGTCTTTGTTTCACTGTTGACCACGTGTGGTTCTGAGTAAACCAGAGGTTCAGTATGTTCATACACAGTGGGACTTTTGGATTGGTGACCTGGTGCCTCTGGCATCTGAGTCGCCAGGTATACAACCCCGTACCCATGTCCATGTTTTCTGAAGCTAGAGAGACTGTCCTTGGCTAGCTGTCTGAAACACGAGGCAAATCTTCGAGAAGTCATCTTATTCATGCCAGTCTTCAAAGCATGGTTGCTGGTAAATAAATTTAAACAAATAGGGATGTCCTATCTGCAGACTGTCTTTCAGGAAGGAGAACCCAGGCTAAATACTTAGGAATTTGGATGCTTTTTAATACAGAATGAACTGTCACATCCTTTAGCACATAGAAGTACAGGACTGAAATCGGAAGACTTGGGTTCTGGTCCCAGTTCAGCTATTAACTAGCTATGTGACTTGATCAAGTTAAAGTTTCCTCTTTTCTCAAATGGTAGGATTGGACCAGGTAACATTTAATTTCCTGTCTAGCATTAGCTCTAATCTTAGCGAATATTTATTAAGTACTCAGAATGTGTTGAGGTGCATTACCTTATTTAGTCTTATGGAGGTTAAGAATATGATTATTTCCATTTCAAAGGCAAAAGAAACTGAGCTTTAGTGTTTCCTGAAGACACATGATTGGTAAATGGTGGAATCTCTATCTGAATCTCACAGTCTGGATTCAGGACCGACTTTATCACCTGTTCTGCCCTCTCTGGAATTTTTTTTTCATGGGCCAAAATACCATTCTTTTTTTTTGGTTAGACAAGGAGTTATCTTAATCCTTTAAATGAAAGCTTCCCAACTCTGGACCTCATATGGGCCCAAATATTGTCTCCTCAGTCCTTGGAGTGGCCAGGAAGGGCTGAGTACCACCAAAATTAGTGAGCTGGTTGCCACCAGGGAAGAGTAGCCTTGTTTATTTGCCCAATATGCTATACAAAATAATCATCTTGTGAGTATGCTGTGACATGAAAAATGTTGGGAAGGAAGCAAGAGGGCTGAGACACATGTCAGGACAAGGATTTAGCTTAGACTTTTCACAAGTCACATCACACAATTTCACAAGGTCCCATCACAAAGGGTTGCTTTGTCCCACAAATCTTAGTCATCACTTCTTGAAAGTGGGATACCTCAATCATCGCCGTGTCTCCAACATGTTGATCCCAGAAGCTGGCCCTGAGCCGATCTTTTGCTGCATCAGTTATTTTGCTAATTGATAGAGCGTCTTAGAAACGTAAAGCCACAGGGGCTTTAGCAGTTCTAAGTCCAATCCAAAGAGGGTAGAGGATTTTTATCATGGTCAGTGTCAGAGTCAGGACTAAATCCCTGGTCTTCCTCATGCCTGGTCAAGGGCCCTTTTTCCCCTACCAGACTAGTAGGCAGAAGCTACTTCCTTGGGAGATGGGCAAAGCAAACCTCACTGAAAGTGCGCTTTGCCTATGCAGATGTCAGGAGCAGTGGAGCACCTGTGGTGGAAGAACCTGCCTCCCCTGGCTCTGTCACAGGCCACAGACCCGTGCGAATCACCCAGCCTCTCTGAGCCGCACAGCCGAGGCCACAGCAGTGCACAGGAAAGTGAGAGGAAGTGGAAACGTGCGAGCAGAGGCTCAAAGTGACAGGCTCACCACCGGAAAAAAAAATAAAAATAAACACGCTCAGAAATAGTGTAACTGATATGCAAAGAAGATCAAAAGAAGGGTTTTAAAATATCTTGGCTGCCTTGGAGGAGGTGGGGGTGGTAAATGAAGTGAGGTTGCAAATGTGCGTTAGTGGGGCGCAGTTAGGTGGGGGGTTCACTGTAGCCTGCTGGCCCCAGGGAGTCTTGGAGCCCCAGAGTATTTCAGATGGAAATGTGGCACTTACAAGCGCAATGTGAAAAAGCTGAACTCATAGAAGCAGAGCATAAGATGGTCACGACCAGAGGCTGAGGGGTGGAAGACTGGGGGGGTGATGTTCAAAGGATACACAATTTAGGTTAGACAGAAGGAATAAATTCAAGAGATCTATTGCACATCACAGTTAATATGGTTAGTAACATGTATTGTATACTTGAAAATTGCTAAGAGAGTAGATTTTAAGTGTTCCCATCACACACACAAAAAGATAAGGTGGTGCATATGTTAATTAGCTTGGTGTAGTCACTCCATAATGTATACACACATCAAAACATCATCTAGTGTACCATAAATATATACAATTTTTGTGTGTAAACTTAAAAATAATAAAGAAAGAAAATGTGGGAGACACAAATTCCCATGGGTAGCTCAGAGACAAATATGAATTCAGGAGCAAGAACTCTGGAGACTCCCAGCCCCCACTCTCCTCCCTCTCCATCTCTTTTGCTGTTCCCTGAAATTCTGGTTCATTTGGAGTCATGGACACTTGTCCCAGGGCAGGGCTCAGACAGGCCAGCAGTGGAGGCACCAGGAAGTTCACCCAACTTGGCTTCACTTCAAGGCTCGAGTTCCAGTTTGGAACAAATGTTCCAGGATTAAGGGCTGGGGCTGAGCAAACTCAGGAAAGACAAACTTCCCCAATCTTGGAAGTGAAATTCTCTTTTCTTTCAGGGTTTTATGAAGAATTGCAGAAATGCCCTCTCTTTAAAAGAAAAAGGTTTTATTTTGAAACTGGCTTCTGAAATGGGAAACCAAAAGGTTAGGGCTGGCTGTTTTTAGCCTGCCTCCACCAATGTAACCATCCCTAATAATAGTCCAAGGATCATGGGACATTTCCAGCACCAGAAGGCTGTCAGTCAACAGCATAGGTACAAAGGGAGCGTTTGCTCCTCCACAGGTCCCAGTGGCCTCATGTGTTTTAGCAGAGGAAATATACTCTGTTATAGGGGAGTGGGGGGTGAAGGAGGGGGTGGCCTGGCCTTTGGAAATTAGTCATCACTCTTATAGGTCTAGCATTTACGCTTATAAAGCACTTTCACACCTACTATGTAGTGCGATGGGCTGTGCAGGGACAATCACACACACTTTCTCGTTGAGAAAACTGAGGCTCCAAGGTCACCACTAGTGATACACAGCACTGTGTATGTTCATGATAGGGCCCTGAAGAACCAGAGATGGAATCAATCCCCTTGTCACTCTAATCCTGGGTCACCCCTCTCCACATCTTCCTCCTCCTCTCCACTCCTCCTCTGATGAAGTAGGGCATGTTTAGTACTTTAGTGATGGATAAATTGTGTATTTCTTTTTTTTTTTTTTTGAGACAGAGTCTCATCTGTTGCCCAGGCTAGAGTGAGTGCCATGCGTCAGCCGGCTCACAGCAACCTCAAACTCCTGGGCTCAAGCAATCCTCTGCCTCAGCCTCCCAGTAGCTGGGACTACAGGCATGTGCACCATGCCGGCTAATTTTTTTGTATATATATTAGTTGGCCAATTAATTTCTTTCTATTTATAGTAGAGACGGGTCTCGCTCTTGCTCAGGTTGGTTTAACTCCTGAACTCAAACGATCCGCCCCTCGGCCTCCAGAGAACTAGGATTACAGGTGTGAGCCACCGCGCCCGGCCAAGTTTTGTATTTTTGATCCAACATGTTTTTCCTTCGGTCTTACTTGTCTAGTCATGAGCAGGTAAATCCTACCCCAAACTCTTCTTGAACCTGATGTTTAGTAGATAACCACCAACAGATGCATGTGACTGGCCCTGGGCTGAGGTGGGAGATGACAGGTAAAGGACAGCCTCAGCCCTGCCTGGTGCACGTTTGCCCTCTGTGCCCAGAGAGGAG